TTAAATAGGTAATATAGAAAAGTTACATGTGTAGCCAATTGTACGCTCTTCTGTAGTGGTTCATTAAACCACAATACCAATAAGTGATTAATAAAAGTCAAAAGACCAAAGAGGTTACCTTAAAAAAAATAAAAATAAAAATAATGTTATTAAACTGATAAAGTTTATAAAATAATCTCAAAAGAATTGTTAGATAAACTAGATAACAAATATAGAAGAAAAGCATATACATCAACTAAACTGCCAGAATTATTAAAAAAAAAAGAATATATAAGTTATTATATTAGGTTATCTAAATTGATAATCTAGAAAATTCTATTAGTTCTAAGTAGTAATTAGTAAAAAAAGACAAAAAAAATATTAGAAAAATAGATATTAGAGTTTGAATAAACTTTACAAAAGTAAGAGCAATTTAATAATTAACTCTAACTGCAAGTATTAGTTCTGATTATAGCATAACTAGATGAAATGTAAATAAAAATACAGAAGGCTTTAAAGATTTATCTTAAGAATAACTATTCCAAAATTAAGATAAAAATTTGAGTTCTAGATAATTTAATAAAGCTGATACAAAGGTTGCAAGATTAAAAGATTAAATGAAACATCTAAGCAGATGTATTAAATATAATAACTAATAAAGAATTTTCAGATAAATTTCTTAAATAAATAATATAAAAAATTTATATATATAGCCAGTTTTTTTTTTTTTGAACTTTGGCAACAATGCCAGTTGGTTTTTATTAGCCTTAATTTGATATAGTACAAATTTATGGTTATATTTTTAGGATCGATTATTACTAGTACTATATACTATCTAATTTAACACTACTGATTTCACCTGGTTACACTTATGGCACCTAAGTGCATGTTGCCGCATGCCTGCATGTAGTTACCTTGGCAACTACTTGTATTTATGGCATACATTAAACTGCTATACAGACAAGAATATCTACCGAACTTAATATGGCATCCCAAGTGCCAGAGGTACTGTCTTCTGTAAATCATACTTATATGTTCCACTCACATGTTTTACCTAATTTTGTTTCTTCTGCCTCCTAATCTAACTATATCTAGTATTATCTTGTTCTTCACATTTCCCACCTTTTTATCACTATATCACTTCTAAATTGGTTCTACTTGGGTATGTCTAATCCTTATAATCTTTCCATCTTTGGTTTGTCTGTTATTGATTTCTCTAAGGTGTTTCGACAATGGTCCAGGATCTATAATGAACCTGTATCTCAAGTCAAATTTGCTACCACTATAGGTCTTTTTGACCAATCTGTATCTCAAGCCAAATCTGCTATCACTGTTCCTGCAGATGTCCTAGGTCTTAACATCATACAGTAACTCAATGCTGCATTTAATCTTCAACATGGTGCTTCCTTTTATGATAGAGACTGGGACTTGTTGCACTTACAAGCAGAACACTTCTGGTTATATCTAAGGAGTTCCTCTGACCCTAGTGATACTATACTACCATGTATTGCAAGCTCCCAGCTTATTCGACAATATCTGCAGGACAATTTTGGTTATGCCCAGAGAGTTACACTGACCTCAGTGATGTCATACTATCTTGCAGATCTTATCTCATATTGGTTGATTGATCTCTAGTCTTGTTCATCATAGACTTTCATATAGGTACAACCAGAACCCAATTTGGTACTTTTACATTGCACAAGAAGGTTATACATCTACATCTAAGATCTTTCCTTTTATAATTAGATTATTTAGCTGTGCCAGAGATGCTTCCAATTTTGGTTAGACCAATCCTTTATTACAGTTCATCCTCATGTTTACCACTTCTCTTATCATTCCAGTTTTGGTTACTTGTCAGATTACTCTTCCAATCAAATTCTCTTCTTGGATTCCAATTAAGACTTATTTGCATAATCCGTTGATTATTTTTCCAAGCAAGTACCCCACAAGTTGAGTGCAGGGATGTTGGTACTGCCTATATTGGGAGGTATAAGGATGTTGGTGTTGCCCTAGCCTAAAGGACTTACATGTGCAATCTTTCCATAACCGTAACCTTCTGTAACAACCGCTTGTTACGCATAGTGCCTGCACTCCATGATTGGGTCTCCTTCCGAGAATTCCTATTTCCATCATTGTATTGCACTTGGACTTAACCACAGAGCTTCATATTCAATTACAGGCTCCTTATTAGGTTACAGAAGCTAAAATCTTTTAATTTTGCCTCCAGTCAGACTTGAACCATTGACCTTGACTGTAGAGGATATGGGAGCTTAACTGCTAAGCTATGAGACCCACACTCTCCATAAAGATTTATTAATAGATTTGTATATTAGTAATAATAATAATATAGTCATATATTAAGATAATAATAAAATTTAGTAACATATTTGTAAATAATAAATAAATAATAATATATATTATAAATAAATATACTTACCTTTATTTGTCTTTTAATAAATCCAATTTGCCTTAAACCTTCACTTAAATAAATTAAATCAAAAAAAAATTAGTATACTTTCCTATAGTAATTAGAAGAAAATCATTAAAAGAGCTCTTAATGAACTTAAGAATTATCTAACAATCTTTAATAGAACAATTGCAAAAAAATTTGGCATTTCTGAGACAACTCTAAAACATGCTATAAAAAATAAAGGTCCTTTAAATTATCCAGAATTTGCCAAAGTTTTAACTGACTATGAAAAACAACAACTAGTCAGTTATTGTTTAAATATGCAAAAACTTGACTTTGGATTAACAAGATCAGGTATAAATCATTATGTTATAGAAATTATTAACAAAAGTAAAAAACAACATTCCTTTAATAAAAGTGAACTGAGCAAGTTATGATAAGAGCATTTTATAAAAGATTATCCTAAGCTTTCATTTCATGTTTCTTAGACTTTGAATAAGGCATAAGTACAAAGAGCCAACTTTATTATAGTGCAAAATCATTTTAATAAGCTTCAGAAAATTATCAAAGAACATTTACATACTCCTAATATAATCTGAAACATAGACGAAAAAGGCTTTATTTTTAATTTTAAACTTTATAAACTTATTATGAAAAAAGATGCATGGCAAGTAAGAATAAAAATTTATTATCAGTATTTAAAAATAATAATAATAATAATAATAAAATGCTTTTTTAATATATTACTAAATTTGTTTTTAAAATTTATCTTTTTTTTTTTTTATCATTCTGTTAGGTTCATCAAGTTCTTATGGCAATTTGAATAAACATATTTCTATATGTTTAACTATCTCTACTGCAGAATCATACATTCTGCCACTTATTATTTATAAAGGAAAATATATAATCCTAGACCTTTTAGAAGATGCTCCTCCTAGTTCTGTTATAGAATTTACAGAGACTGAATATATGTAAAAGTCTCTTTTTTAAAAATATATTAAGCATTTTATTCACTTAATTCTACTTGCTCATTTTGTTCTTTTGATTTTTGACAGCCATAAAAGTTATGTTAGCTATACTAATATTAATATTTGTTATAATAACAATATTCTTTTATATATGCTTTTACCCTATACTACCTATATACTTCAACCAGCTGAACTTTCATTTGCACAGCTTAAAATTACATATCATAAAGCTGTAAGCAACTTCATATTAGTAATAATAGGAAAATCATAACTAAGTGCATATTTGCCAAGGTTTTAGATTCAGTATATCTTAAAACTTACACATTTTTGACAATCTGTAATGCTTTTAAAGCAACTGAAATATGGCCTTTTAATCTCAGTACAATTAGCCCTGACCACCTTGATCTTTTATTAGTTACTAAGCAGCCTAACATCTTTTTAACACAATTGATTTTATCATCTTTAACTGACATCCTTTTGATATAATTAACTTTATTACTTTCAACAACTGCAGCATCATTTTTATATTCTTCTTTAAAATTAAGCTCAAACAATATACATTTCTCTATACTAAGATCTGAAGTTAAAGATCTTAGCAAGAGAGTTAAAGAATTAGAAACTGAGTTAAAAGTAACAAAAGAGAAACTAAAAACTCTCAAAAACCCCAATACATCATCTTTATAAATAATTATTAAGTACTCTTTGCTCTGTTTAAGTCTCACTAAAGATGAATCTAAGATTAGTACTGAAAACCAATCTGAGCCTTAGTTGCAAAAAAGAAAAAAAATGAAAGACAATGCCTTTTGCTTAGCTTCTAACTAATGAAACATCATTAAAAGCATTAAAAGATTCAAAAAAAAAGGCTAAAAAAAGGCTACTGAGGTAAAATACAAAAAAGATGCTATGGCTTAGAAAAGATTAAAATAGAAGGCTAAAAAAGTGCAAATAGAAAAAAAAAAAAAAACAATAGTTAATAGACAAAAAAAAAAAAAAAAAAAAAAATCAAATTAAATTTTATTTAGCTGTTACATATCTGTAATTTATACATTAAATATTATATATACAACTTCTTGATAGTTATTTTTCTAACAAGTTACTATTTAATCTACATTATGCAGATGATAGTTTAGTATTTTGTTAGTTGCAATTATGCTTTGTTAGTAGATTTTTACATGGTATGATATCATTTAATTGGCTTTTTAGAAAAATGACCATTGTAAAATTGATATATAACTCTATGCATTATTTTTGGTCCACCACCCAAAGATCACTAGTTTTTTTAAAAAATTTTTTTTTTATTTTAAAAAACTTTTTTTTATATAAAAATTTTTCTTTTAAAATAAAAAATATTTTTTTTTTAGAAACCTTTAGAATAGTTATTTATTAAAATATTATAAATTATAAATTAATTTTACTATGTTATCTTATAGCAAATGTTAATTGTATCATAATACTTTCTATTACCTTATATATAAAAAAATGTTTAACTAGTATTGTATAAAAGTTTAGTACAGAAAACTTTTTCCTGTTCATTACTGATTTGAACAAAATATTTATTGTCAACAAAATAACAACTAACAATAAAAACAAAGACTCTTTATTTTTTACTAAAACTAGGACAAAAGCTCTTGTTCTTAAGAAATATAGACTTATACTACTTAACCTTTAAAAACACAAAAAAGTTTTACTCAAAACAAACTTTCTTTTAAATAAGCAAAATATAGAATATGAAACAAATTTCTTTTTAAATAACAACACAAACTGGAATAAATAAGTAGAGCAAAAACTAAATAGAAGTGCTACTTTGGCAACAGACAAAAAAGTAACACTACAAAAAAAAATAGCAATAAAAGTCCACAAACTGAAACAACTGAAAAAGATAATATTGCAAACAGTAAACTGATAACAACAAAGACATGTATACATGAAGCATTATATGATAATAAATAAGAAAGTCATATGGCAAATGTAGAAACATGTATTGAAGCACAAGCTGAAATATACAATAAAGCATATGTCAACACATATGCTGAAATATATGCTAACACAAATATATCTCAAGAAAGCAAAAAGCAATAGTTTAGTTTTTTTGCAAAACTGAAAAGAAGGCAGTCTACATATTTTGCCTCATCTCTTAAAAATTTTATCAAGTTAAAAAATAATAATGCTCTAGTCTTTGATATCAGAAGCTTAAATCACTTTTTTAATGAAATTATAATTTCTCTATATGAACACATAAAACAAGATATGGTTACTGCAAAACAGCACTTCACCAAAAATGACAGAACACACCTAAAACTAGCATTTGCCAATAATAAATGGCTTAAACACTATGCAGCAATGATATAGTAATCTTTAATCAAACCTATTATGGTTTTATCTTTATAGATAATAGAAAATCCTTCCTTTTTGTCAAAATCAGAAATGTACTACTGAACAACAAAAAACAAGTTTCTAAAGCAATTTTAAAGACTTTTAAAAACTTTAAAAAAATTATAACTATCAAACCACTTCTTATTGAAAGAACTTCTTATGCAACTGACCAATAGGTTATAATCTTTGAGACAACTAATAATCCAAAACTCAAAGCCAGAATCTTATATTATACCTTTTTATGAGATAACAAAGTTATAACAGAATGGAAGTTAGATCCTAAGGCTTGCTTTTTTTGTGACAAGAAAGAACATAAAAAAAAGACTGTAAGCAATTTAAAAAAGCAGTTGAACTCAGACAACAATACAAGAAATATCAAGAAAACAAAACCAAAAGAATAATAAAACCCTTACATAATGTTTTAGAAACCTCCAATATGCAAAACAAATTACTAAATAAGACAATTCTTCGAAAAAAGAATTTAGTTACTTAAAAATGTGAAGTTATCACAGTTACTATTTTACAATTTAATGAAGAATTTCTTGCTTGGGCTAGTAATCAACCTGATTCAGTAATAGATAACAGTGAACCTCCAAGCTAACAGGAAGTTCTGCCGAATATAAATAAAGAGAACTTGATTATTTTAATTAGTAACAACAAGCTGAAAGTAAATTGGCAATACACAAAACTACCTCCTTTCTTGTCTTGAAAAAAAAAACCAAAATTTACTTTAGATACCAATAAGTGAAAAAAAGTTAAAAGAAGCATTTACAAAAAGCAAGAAGAAAACAAACTCTACTTGAAAACCAAAATCCCAAATAGAAACAAGACTTTCGAAAATATACAAATCTTCACCTTATCTAAACAATGATTAAACCAAAACTAAAAACAGTAAATCTAAATATCAAGAGCTTAATGATAAACAAAAACAAAAAAATACTTTAATATTATTAAAATTATATAAATTAAATATTATACTTTTATAAGAAACAAACCTTAACAACAAAAACACTAGAGAATTTTGCAACAACAATGGCTTTTTAACTTAATTTGGTCAAATAAAGCAGCAATTTTAGTAGAAAATAAAAACATTTTATTTAGTGTCAACAAAATTGAACAAAATGTAAAAGTTATTACAACTACATCACACAGAAACTACATTTTCAAAATTACAAATATATATGCACCATCTAATCAATCAAATAGAATTCTTTTTTCAATTACTAGACTCTAACAATAAACTTAGAAGCAATAAATATAATCAGAGAAGACTTCAATACAAATATTTATTCAGAGAGAGACTGAATTAGTGCTTTATCAGCCCAAAAAGACCCTTCAAGAACCTTGTTTTTAGAAAATCTTAAGAACTTTATAGACATCTCTTCAGTCTTAGAAAATACACCTCTTCTTACTTTCTTTTAAAGGACTCAAGGAAATAGAATTATAGCCTCTCATCTGAACTACATTCTTATTGACAAGAACTACTTACACTTGGCTACAAAGCTAAACACCTTATATGATAATTTAGATCACAAATTAGTGAAATGTGTCTTCAACTTTCAACAAACTTCAAGTGAATCAACAATTTGAAAATTTGATAAAAGAACATTTATAAATACTCTTCTTGAAAAAGATTTAAAAGAAGAGCTACAAGAAGCAATAAATAGTGATGATTAGGACTTAACTAAGATCCAACTACAATCAATTATTAGAGCTTACAAAAAGCCCAAGACAATCAAAAACAATATTATGAAGCTTAATAGAAAAATTACAGATCTTAATAAGAAACTAGCAAACAGTTTATCTAACAACAGTTTACAAGCACAAGCAAATAATTTAACCTATCAATTGCAGAAAGAACTTACTGATATGGCAGAAAAATAGCAGATACACTCAAAAGCAAAATGGATTAAGCAAGAAGAAACATTAATCAAATATTTTTTGCCAAATACAAAATAATAAAAACATATGCAGCACTGTCTGAAATAAAGATTCCTAATATATTGATACAAAATGAAAATGATACTTTACAATATATTAAAGACCAATATGTTAAAATCTATAGTCAAAAAGAAGTAGATTTTGGAGACATTAATAAAATTACAAAAAACATCAAGCAGGTCTCAGATTGACAAAATATTTTACTCACTAAAACTTTCTCAAAATAAGAGATTACAGAAGTAATTAAGGATTTTTCAAACAACAAATCTTCAGAAACTGATGGTTTCACATATGAATTGTACAAACATTTTAAAAAGATCATTACTTTTATTCTACAAAAAGTTTTTAATAATATACTATCTACTGGTAACATGTCTATTTTATAGACAAAAAGTCTAATCACCTTAATATCTAAAAAATTCTCAGAATTAAATAACATTAACAACTAAAGACCAAATTCTTTAGTAAACAGTAATGCCAAAATTTTTATAAAAATCTTGGCTAATAGGCTTAATAAAATATGTAAAGACCTGGTTCCAGACTATTAGCAAGGCTTTATAAAAAGCAAAGCTATAATGGACATAGTATTAGATATTCTAATAGTTATAAGAAACCAGCAAGACAATACTAAGCAAAACTGGCTGCTTTTAGTAGACCAGCAGAAGGTATTCAATTATATTAATTACAACTATTTCTTAGAAGTATTAAAGAAAATAAACTTTAACTTCAAATTCATAAAGCTAATTAAAATCTTATTTACTAACTAAAAGACATATATTATAGCTGCAAACAAAATATCTGCCTTTTTAGAGTTGAAAGAGAAGTATGACAAGATGATCCTCTCTTACCTCTTTTATACATTTTGGCCTTCGATCTTTTGTTGCAAAAACTGAACAGAAAACTTATAAGAATCCAGCTAGAAGATACAGTCTTCAAAGCTTTAGCTTATGCAGATGATCTCATATTAATAATTGGTTTCAGAACAAATTAAGACACTATTAAAAAAAACTTTGCTCTATATAAAAGAGCCTCAAATGCAAAAATTAACCAAGACAAATCTAAACTAATTCTGTCTACAAGTGCAGCTTGAAGTCTTAAACTACTGAGTAAAGAAAACCTTAAACTAATATTAGAACAAAAAGCTATTACTATTCTAGACTATTAAGTTTATTCTAATGGTCTTTCAAAAAAAGACCTTTGGTTTTCTATAATTAATAAACTTAAAAACTCTTTTGAAAAGTTGGTAAGCAGAAATTTTTTGTTTAAAACCAAAATTCTTTTAGCAAACTCCTTGATTTTATCTTAAATCTAATATATAGCATATCTACTCTTTTTAAGCAAAAAGCATATTGCAGAAATCAATAGCATAATATCTCTATAGATTAAAAACAGATTTAAAATGCTTTTAAGATTTGTGGTATTTTAACAAGCACATAATGCTGCAGGACTGCAAGCTTCAATAATAGAAGAAATGCTTAAGGCATGACTACTTTCTATATAGCTAAAGCTATTCTCAGAAAACTATTTCTGAACTAGACTAAAAAGAAAGAAAATATGCAACATATTAGAGCTTAAAAGAAATATATTAGTATATATTGTCTTAAATACAGAGATGATCAAAACCAAAGCTTGGCCCAAAGAATAGAAATCTTATCTGCTTGCTTGAAAAAAAGCTCAGAGCAAAATAAATACTATCTCTAATTAGCTGTAGAGCAAAGAAGATCTATATCTAGGAGACTTTAAAGTGAATGAATTCTTAGTCAAGAAAATTTTAAACTTTTAAAAAACTTCATATTTACCTAACATTACTATTTAGTCTCAAGCACTTTTAACAAACAACAACTGGCTCTTTGTTGCATCAATAAATAATAAAAAAATAGACATATTCTAAAGAATATTTCACAAAGCATTATTTTTAGATTGTCTAAAATATATAGACTCTTCAGTTAACCTTGGTGTTCAGATGAGCAATAAACAATAAATCACTTTGCTATTTATTGTAAGGCCAGCAAAAAGGTCTGAAATAAAGCATACACCTTTTTACAAACAGGTATACAAGAAACACCCTCCTCTTTAATTAAAAAAATATTTGATACTAGTAACATTAAAGATTAACACTATTCACAAATAATTTTTTAACTGCATATTAACACAATATATAAAATTTGGTGTTGTTATACAACAGCAAGATGAAGAAACAACATATATACATCTACAATAATTTTCTCTATAGTAGCTAAGCATCTAGCTAATGAAATTAGAGTATTGTTCAAAAATATTAGTAATAATCCAAAGAAAACTAAGCTTTTTAAATGCTTAAAAAAATTGTAAATATTCTTGTATATTAGCAATAATTAATAGATATGAGTTCACATTTTGTACTATCAGTAGTATATTTTATAAACTTCATAAAAAACTCAAAAACTAACCAATTTAAAAAATATTTTATTAAAAGAATTAATAAAACTAGTTTTATACATTGGTGCCATTTTTTTTAATTTTAATTATATAATTTAAAATTATATAATTTTAAACATACAGCATAATTTTACAAAAATGATGTACTACATATAATATAGTATTTTAAGATCCCTCATGGCTTACTAAATAAAAATTATTAGTAATGCATTTAGAATATAATAAAATAAATGTTAAACAATCTGTAAAAAATTTTTTTTACCTTGCTATAACAGGATTATATGTATTATAAACATAATCAGCCTAGCAATTTGTGCATAAAGCCTGTGTAATTATACAAGTACAACAAGTAGTTGTACATTTGTGGCAGCTTAAACAATGATGCTAAATATGTTTTTCTTTTAACTTTGAGATTGTGAGATCATACTTAAGACTAACAAGATAATGTTCAATAGCAATTTGATTGTTCTTATTATTTCTTTGCCTTTTTTTAGTCTGTTCTATCACAGGTTTATTAGAATAATAATCAAATATTGAGTTTATCAGTTGCTTATGAAAATCTATATGTCTCAGGTTACTTTTATTTAAAACAAATTGACAAAACATAGAATAGCTATTGGCTTCTGCAATTGATAAATAAAAAGCAAAAATATGATTTCTAAAACATTTATTTGAAAGAACATCATAATAAGAAAGTGCATTATCATGCAAATTGTTATGTATATCTACAGCTAATCTATATTCATTAAATTCATCAAAAAAAGCAGACCATATAAATTTTACATTACTATATCCTTTAATATATTTTTTTACTTCACTTTTCAAACTTGTTGTTGAGCAATTACTAAGCAATACAATATCTTTACAGTTACGAAAAGAACACAAGATAAGATTAACATCATTAAACTTTCTTGTCTAACTATTAAATGATCTATATTGACTTTCAAAAACATCTGTAATATCAAAAGGAATATATTTAGACCAGTAATAACATTTTTTTAATTGTAAAATAGAATATAGCTCATGTTTATACAAAGTTATATATAAATTTACACTACTAAACCAAGAGTCTGCAATGATTGTTTTATTACTATAAAACCATGACTCAGTTAATTACAGCATAGTTGCAACTGTTATTTTATAATTATCTGAATTTTTTTTTTAGCAAATTTAGAGGCCTCCACAAGATCCAACCATAAAAGAAAATTAGTCTGGGTATCTGCAACAACTTTAAACTCACTTCCAATTAGATGAGGTTTTCTTGGAATTTTTTGTTAAAATGGTTCTTTATTAATTTTATTTATCTATTAGCACATTGACTCATTAATACATAAGTAGTTTTCAGATGTAATAGCATGACAAAGATTTTCATTAAATGCATTATAAAACTGACAAGCAAAATGAAAAGGATCATTATTTCTTATTGATTTATTAGTTAGTGTTAAATATTTGATAATATTTCAAAAATGCCTATATAACATATATTGTTTAAAAGAAAATAAAATATCAGAAGTTTTTTGTCTAAAAAACCAATAATCACTACTATCAGCATATTGAATATATATTATTATGATCAAAATACCAATAAAACATATGAATTCTATTTATGTCAAGTCTTTTCAAAGCTGTTTACTTGCATGCTCACATTTATTTGTAAATGATATTACAGTTGACATTATATATTTAACTGGCAAAAAATATTCAAAAAATTGTCTAGGTGTTGCATAATTAATATTCAAAATATTTATACTTAATGCACTAGAATATAAGTGATCTATTTGACAAGAATCAATTATAATAGCTATATTAGTCTAAAAAATCCCATCTTCCCAAAAGTCCTAGCATTACTAACAATCAAAGCTGCAGTTAGATGATCTTCCAAATAATCACATGATTATTGAGACAACTTATAATAAATTTTATATATCAATATTAATTTTATATATGCAAGTATATCATATATGTAATACATATGTATACATACTATAAAGCAAAGATAATTTTGTACAGTAAAACTAACATAAATATATATTTTATGTTCACTAAACTGTCTGTTTATAAAACTTTTACATTAAAAAAAACTATATTTAAAAGTAAAGCATTTTGGTATATATTTATAACATATTTATTTATAATACTGTGTATTTTCAATATTATCCTTCCAAGTTCATGGCAATGTATGTCTTTTTTCATGTTTCAAAAAGTCTTCAACAAATGTCTCAAGCAGGACTAGTTTGGATTTTATGTTTTCAAAAAATCTTTGATGGTTATAAAAAGACTTATATTTATTAAAGATACATTGTATCTAATTTAATATTATATATAAATATTAATAATTCAACCAAGTAATAAAGTTGGAATATGAGCTAAAAGGTAGTTGCTGACAGGCAGCAAACCCTAACCACAGAGCTAAGTACATCTTCTCTTCCTAAGAGAAGAAACTTAGGGAGATAAAGTTTGCTATAGCAGGTCATACTTAGATATCATTGAGACAACCGGATGGGTCACTTTTTAATACAAATACCTAAATAGGTAAACCTTGTAAAATGAAACAAATTTATTGTAAAATTACAAAGAATTAAATAAAGTAGTGGCAGGACTGCTGAATTTAAAAAAAAAAAAAAAAAAAAATTTAACAAAGTAATATAACATAAACATTATCTTGTTTAAAACTTGATACAGTTGAGAATGTTTTTGCTTAATTTCATCCATAAAATTATCATCTGTTTTATAAATCTCTTGTTTCATATTTATAGTGAAGGATTTATTAATTTTATTAATGCTACTAAAATCATTATTGATTGGATAATCATTATCAAGTTTGTTATCAAGATTGCAAGCTAATCGAATTTTCTGCCAAGAATTGCATGATGATATTAAAATTAACAAATATTTGAAATTGCGAAAAATCTAAATTAGTGTTAATATTTATTGAGTAAATTAGTTTTATCAGATTTTAGTTTTGTAATTATCATTATAAATAAATAATACACATTTGATAAAAAAATGCATTTGGCTTTGAACCAATTGGAATAACCAAATGTTTATATAAAAAGAATTTGTTTGTCGCAAAATAAAGGCACAAGCAAATTCAGTATATATAATTCATTAAATATTTATTAAAGTCACAAGACCATAATACTAACAAGTTACATTCTTTTTGAAATTCTTTTTGCTACAATGTAAGTTGATGCTCATGGCATAATAATTTAAACATATCGATTTGTCATACAATAACCTAAATAAATAAATTAATAAAAAATAGTTTATGAATTAATAAAATGCTAAATACAATGTAATAAATACCTTTTTTATGACTATAAAATATAGAAGATCCAGGTAAGGATGATTAAATTTATAAAGATAGTCTTTCTTCAAGAGTCTTCAATGTAATTTGACTACTATATTTATATGCAAAATTCTAATTTCTTTAAATGATGATCAGGCTCAAAGAACCTATTGTTTTGAAGAATACCATTTATTCCAAATATATGTTCATACTATGATTAGACCATTTTTATAACAATATTGATATATTTTAGTATTGTATTTAACTCAAATTACTTACCGATCATTTACAAATGTTTCATCTTCTTTTGGAATTAATATATGCTAATTAAAGTGCTTTTTGATAAAGTTTTTTATATGTATGTGAATTTTCTTGTTAGCAAGTTGAAATTCTGGTTTTGATTTATACACATTTTCTTCATGTGAAGATAGAGATAGTTGTCATAAAGGGTCAATAATTGTATATAGTTTAGATACCTCAATAATATTGTATCTTATTATTTAAACTTTTGTTTTTGATGATAATTTTTGCTTTATAGTATGAATAACATGCCATAAACATAATTGCACCTTAATATTAGTCCAAGTGGCTTTTGCTGCATTTATTTGTGATAGGTCTTTATCAGTATAAAAAATTTGCACATTGATTAGTTGTCATGCTTTTAATGCCATGAACTATTTAGTAATAATACTGGTAATATTATGATTTTTTTCTGATGTTAAAAATAAATAAAAAATAGGAAACTCTGTACTATCTACAATTGCTATGGCCCTATATATCTCATACTTATACCTATTAGTATTATAGGTTGCATTGACTATAAGCTCTATTAATTTATCTAAAAGCAATATATTGAAAAAAGCAGTTACAAAAGCAAAAGCATAATCTTTAAAAAAAAGAATTTGTTGCTTATGATCTTGTAGAAAAGTTTTTGCAGAAATAAGTTCATCATCACAATGCTAATATTTTTTTTGTACAATTGATGATCACCAAAAATAAACCTGTTTATTAGTTAGAAGTTTGTATTCATTTATACATTTGTCCTTAATCGATTGATAAATGTTTGGTACATTTTGCCCAATACAGGAACCTATATAACTTTTGATTTCTTCTGTTATACCAATCTTTTCTAATCATGGATATAAAATTTTATGAGATATATTAACTGTCACTTTATCTTGTGAATAAATTTTAACTATAATTAGGCTTTTGCATTCATAATGTTCAATATAAGGCTCATTATTATATTGCTTTAAAATGTCCTCAACCTTCCTTTGATCTTTATACAATCCTTTTTGAGCATTGCACCAATATACTAACATTGTAAATTCAGAATGTTTACTACTATATGTTTTGTTAAACACATATGTATATCCATCTTCATTGCTAATTTGATTAATTACCAAATTAGCAATATATATGATTTTTCTTTTGCAATAATATCAGTTGAAATTTTTTCATAAATAGAATCTAAATTAATATCGAATTAAAGTTAAAAAGAGGTTTGTCTTTCAAGATTATCATTTAAGTTTTTATATTCTAAAAGTGCATAATAAATGAAATCTGTAACATTGAAGAAGTTAATAATGTTTTCTTTTTTGACTATATAATCATTAATTACTTGCTGCTTTTGCTTTTTTTCTGTAAAGTATTAATATGACAAGTCATATATCAAGCTTGAATATTACTTTCATTTACAATAAAACCTTTAAGTAGACATGTGCAGTTGCACCTATTACAAGCTTGTAAAAAATCTTTATTTTCTATTGTAAATAATAATATTTAATTAAAAAAAAATTTGTAATAAGCAATAAAAAAACTATAAACTATAAACTACTTTTGTTATTATATAATAGTTATTATACAATATATGTAATAGGTTCATAATAAAAATTAATATTATTGGAGATAATGACAAATCAGAAGAGCCTGTAACTGCACTCACAATTGGTAGTAATGCTAGATTTGCTCATCTTCTTTACTCCTATTACTGACATTTACTGCCTCATTCATATTATGCTTACTATCACTTGAAATATCACTATTACTCGAGATATCTGTTTCTGATTTACTAGTTACCATCTCTAATATATTATTGTTCAGATTATTATCAGCTACAGAAGCAGCTACAAATGCTATTTGGCTTGCTGAAACTTCAATCTCTGTCTTTAAATTTGTGTTAAGACTAATTACCTATTAGTTAGTGCCAGCTGCTGCTCATAAAATTGTGGCTGAAAGTCATTTTGTTTTTTACATATCTTCTAGAAGTAAGTAGACAACATCTTTACCTATAACCAATCCCAAACAGTAACTTTACTTCCTTCTTTAATATTAAAAAATTTGCATTCTATAACAAATTGTATTTTAAAAAAAAAACTATATAGAAAAAAAAACTATATAAAAAAAAACAACTATAGAAAAAAACTATATAGAAAAAAATACTATATAGAACAAAAAAATAGATTGTTTAATGTTCATAGTAACACTTACTGTAAACTTTTTTGGCTTGTTGTGTAAGTATTGTCAATACTTTGATATATTTTTATTCAATTATACACTTTATTAATCATTTTTTTTTTCTTTTCTTATGCAAAAAACCCTTGTTAAAAAAAAAAATTGTGTAGAAAAAATCCTTTTACATTTCTGAGTACTCAAGTATTTTTTTTAATTATTTATTACATCATTTTTGTAGCTTTATTAATGCCAAATGCATATAATTAGAATTGATATGTATAACACTATTCCATTTTAATACTGTTTATTAAAACTCAGTTACATGTGAATTCCCTACACAAAGTATATATTGTGAGTTGTTGTATATAACAAACTAGTTAAGAAAAATATAATCCTATAATATGAAGTTATGCAGCCTTTTTAATTAGTAGATAAGTGCTTTCAAAAATTGGCACAATGTAGTACAATATACTACTGGTAGTATAGTGAACTCATATCCATTAATAATAAAAGATGCCATCTGCATTTTTAAGCAGTAAGCTTAAAAAAAAAAAACTTTGGTACAAACTTATAATAAAACTACTACACACAAAAAATTAAAAAACCAGAAAGACAAAATTCTTTTTAAAAGTTTTTAAGTAAAAGATAATATAAAATTTTAACAATACTATTAAACTAATTAAAGTTTACAAACTACTTCAAAAAAACAAACAAATAAACCAAACAACAAATATTTATAAAAAAGCATATAACCAACTAGACTGCTAAATTTATTAGAAAAAAAAAAATAAGAAGTATATTATATTAGGCCATCTAAATTAATAATTTAAAAAGTTAGCAGCTGCCATCTCTAAAATTATGATGCATTTTACAAACAGTAGGCTATTTTTAGAGAAGAATAATATAAGTAGGCAGATAATAAAACCTATTTATATGAAAGACTGGATTAATAACAGTTAGGCCAAATGTATTGGAAAGACTACAGTATCTTTCACAGCTATGTGAACCAAGCTTAAAATAGTGAGTGACCTTGCAGAAATATTTTATTATTTCTTGGATTCTAATTCTTTATCTAACTCCAAGAACCTCTTCTGCTATAATATTTTTCTAATTAATTATAATCTCCCAACCTTATCATCTAAACAAACACTATTATCTTTTATTCAACATCTAAAAAATAACTTTTTTAACAAACCTTTTAAAATTTTTATTAATATTACACTCACTGAAACACATATCTATAAAAATTCAAAATATAAACTTCTATCTAATCACACATTTCTTCCAAGTTCACACTATTATCTATACAATAACCTCCCTATTAAATCATATTTCAGATATTCAACTTCTCATACTATCTTAGATAGTATTTTTTTTAATACATATAATAATAATAATTCAAATCTTATTACTTCTAATTTACATAATTCTAACTCTATAACTACTAATAATATACCTTTTTTACAAACAACTCTTTTATCTATTATCTCAATTCTTATAAAAATTAGTTCTTTAAACATTAATGGTTTACTTCAATATTCAAAAAAACTCTTACTTATTGACATAATCAATCAATATAATTTTAATATTTTTGGATTATCAGAAACACACCTAACTTCCAAAGAAGGAAAATATATTAACAAAGACCTTTAAAACTATAACAACTTTTGGAGTTCTTATGAAAATTCTTATCAAGCAGATATTGGAATTTTTATACATAAAAGAATCTCCAAATATGTAGCCAGAACACACAACTATAATAGTTATATAATTGGTTTTGATTTACATTTCAAACACAATTCTATTCATATTCTCCAAATTTATCTTCCAATAATAAAAAAAAAAACAAAACAATTATATTCTAAAATTCAAGAACAAATTATTTAACTTTGTAACAACTCCAACTATTAACTAATAATATTTGGGAATTTTAATAGTGTTTCTAATCTATGCTTGAATAAAAATCTTTCTAAAAACACTTTTATCTCAAAATCTCAAAATTTTA